GAACATCGGGGTCAAGGCAACAGGAAGCTCAGTGTGCATGTGAGTTTACCCGCATACCGCTCGCTTCAATGAATCTACATACGTAACGTTTATACACCAGGCCCCAGGTGTTTCAGTTTGATTATCTTTTCAGGTTGTTGGTTATGGAGTAGAAGAAAACGACCCTCCTAGTACGGAGCCCGCAGCCGCTGGAGAGGGGGAGGGCAGTAAGATGTCACTCTATGGGGAGGTTTCCAAACTCACCTTCCTTCCTGCTTCCACTTTACTGGCCTCCGCCACTACCATCACAGACATCCAGGCCTTTACTTCCACCCTCAAACTCTATCCTTACCACAAGATTCTCAAATAAACAAAAGCATGAACTCAATCTGCCAACTGGCAAGCAGGCACGCACCCCCTACCTCTATCCTCTCCTCCTGTCTTCTGTGTCGTACTTGAGCTCGGAATGGAGGTCTTCTCATGTACTCATACGATGCATTCATATAACGAGTTGAATTCCCTTGTGTGTGCGGGCATGGATGGGGCTCGGTTTGGGGTTCCTGCTGACAGAAGCAGATCACAAGGTCTCATTATATCCATACCTGGCTGTAGTGGACCTTTAAAACATAAACATGACTCAGAATTGTGTGTATTTTATCAATAGGCCTGCAGTGTTAAGTTTGTACTAATAAATTTGTAATGTAATGACAGTGCTGAAAAGTATGAAATATATTTGAATGAGATGCAGTAAGAGAGATTGCTGGACTGCTTTTTATGTAGCCAGTTGATGACGCTTGATACTGAGGATGTGTAATGATGCTTCAGAGGTGGGCATTTGAGCACGCAAGACCAAAATGATGATGCTTCTCTTACTGCTATCGCATCATTCTGCATTTGGCACAACTTCAATCTGCAAACTGAGGGGTGGCTAATATAACTGCTTGAATTCAGAGTGTGCAAATATATTTATTAAAAGCACCGTAAAACTACTAATGGCCTGTCTGCATTTGAATATTTCCATCTCCACTATTAATCACCATTTGAATATAACATACACATGGAATCTGAATTTACTATATACTTTCTTAATACATGAATCTGGTATGATTGTATTAAAATGTAATAATTTTATCCACCACAGAAATGAGAAATGATTTTTCTTTTGGGCTGATGTTACAGAGCACACTTAAGGCAGGCTCACACAACAGGACTTTTTGCTGTCGCAAACAGATTTCCAAGGTCTGCAACAAAACCCCCCGGCTCTTGGCCAAAACTGTGCTCATTAAAGAGATTGTGCGTTCAAAAATTAAAATTATCCTATAATTTACTCAACCTTAAGCCAATCTAAGTGTATATGACTTTCTTATTTCAGCCAGTCTTTAGTTATATTAAAAAATATCATGGCTCTTATATCCTCTTCCAAGCTTTATAATGGGAGTGAATAGTACTGTACCATAGATTTTGAAGCCCAAAAAAGTGCATTCATCCATCATAAAAGTAATCCATATGTCTCCAGGGGGTTAATTAAGGGCTTCTGAAATGAAGCGATGTGTTTTTGTAAAGACCAGAGGTCTCATTAAGGTAGAGCTTATAGTTATAGTGAAGGGTAGTGGTTGTGACGGGTTACGCGATCCTAACTACCAATTTGATGCTTCTGGCCTGGTCCTGCTATCCTCAGACTGATGTGATGTGTGGTTCTGCGGTTCTGAAGTTATATATATATATCTTGTGTTGTGTAGTATGAGCGTTACAAAGGCAAGAAGACGACAGATGACAAGAAAACTTGTGTAGTGTGAGCACCATAGCGATAGTCCTCCTTTAGTGTGACCTTGCTCTTACTTGCACTTGCAGCGTAACTTCATTCTAGTACGTAATTTAATATTTCCCACAGTTGTCCTGCAACAACTTGTCCTAAAATATCATCTGATTATCATCATGATTTTTTAATGACGTTCCAATCGAAATGAAAAAAGTTTAAATGAAATCAGATTACATTAAATCAAGGAATTGATTTAAGGAAAATGTGTACAAGAAGTAAAATGTGTTGCCAAAATTTTATTTTATTTTTACTTTGTTGAAAATGTGCCATTTAGTCTTCACCTTTAGTATTTTCAAAGCCAATGTGCGAGACTTAAGATTCATTAGCCACTGTAAGCTAATAATGATAAGAAAATAAGTAAACCTAAACAATACAGTAAAATATTGCAAGAAATACCAGTTTGTAGTATAACTAGCTAATTTGTAGGCCCACAACTAAAAATAACTGGAAGTAGATGACATAGGAATTACAAATGGCCTCGCCCTCGCTTATATTTGAAAAATGAGGTAGATAGCAGGTAATTGAAATAATGTGAGCTGTAGGAGTCATATATGGATGTGATTTATGGGTAGTGTGTCATTTTTAAAAGCTTGTCTTCAACTGACCTAAGATTCAGGTGAATTGTCATGCTGCCAACTCTTACCTGGCATCACATGGAGTTGGCATGACCATTATTGCATCTCCTTGTCCAGGAAGGTGGCACATAGCAGCACAGCAAGAGGGTTGATCTCTTTGTGCTCCAGAATATCTCTTCTTCTCTGATCACCCCGCCTCTCGTTGTTCTGATGCTGCTGCTGTCCTGAAGCACTCTTCAGAGGTGCGCTGCACTGGCTAGAATTTCATCAATCTGCAGAAACAGGCACAGTTTAAGAGGGATCACATTCTAAATATTTAGACTGCCTGCCTTTTGTAGTTAGATGATTCGTCGCTTCATCTCACTCCTGCAGAGTGTATTAATTGACAAACTGTTTAAGTGGGAGGAGGGGCTGAGAAAGAAAACGACTGGTAATATGAATAAATAAGGCAGATCGGTAACACTTTACAATAAGGTTCGTTAGTTAACATTAGTTAATATGAACTAATAATGAATAGCACATATACAGCATTTGTTAATCTTTGTTAATGCTATTTTCAACATTTACTAATACTTGATTAAAATCTTGTTAACATTAGTTAATGCCCCGTGAACTAACATGAACAAATGATGAACAGCTGTATTTTCATGAACTAACATTAACAAAGATGAACAAATGCAGTAACAAATGTATTGCTCATGGTTAGTGCATGTTAGTAAATACATTAACTAATGTTAACTAATGAACCTTATTGTAAAGTGTTACCGGCAGATCTATGGGAAAAGTCAGCCTCCTGTTGTAGTTCTCTCAGTTTTATGCATGGAGCTGCGAGCCTCACTGCTCTTATGGATCATGAAAATATAAGAAGGACAATAATTGTGTGCCTCCCAGGCTTCAAAGCAAGGGAAAGAAACAAGGGTTTCTGTGAGGCAGGTTAATTGGGTTTATTGGCCTTTCGTTAGTGAGATAATGGCATCTAATGCTACTGTAGATTCAGACACCTAATTTTATTCATTTGATAACAGATAAATTCATAGTTGTAATTATAATTTGTGTACTAATCTACTATTATGGATTTTTACAAATGAAAAAATATTACTGATGCAAAATATACTTGATAAAAGATAAATGGCATTGCAGCAGCAAAAAAAAAAAACAGTGTCGGAGTGAGAGAGGAGGGAATGGCATTCCCATGTCGTGTGTAATATTTAATTAGAAAGATGTCAAATGACAAGTATGGTAGCTTTGCACTAAAGCACATTTCCTGCTTTAAATGCATTGACACAGATGAGTTGAGTAGGCTCAATCAGCTTTGTCACAGATCTCTTCTGCTCGTATCGGTGTGTTTGTGTGCGAGCACAAATACATTTGCGTGCATGCACAAACTGGAGGTAGAGCTTGTTGGCTTTTTTGTGCATAGTGTGGGTGATCGTGTCTTCGTTGGTCTTTTTTACCAATACTTAAAGGTAAAGTTCCCTAAAAAAAATAAAATGTGAGTGAGGTTTGATTATTCTCATAATTAGTTGAACGTTCATTTACTGATGTGTTTATTTGGTCCAGTCATGTGCAATATGAAATGTGCAATTAATAGGTCAGTAGACCAGTATTGTGTTTCAAACAAGTGGTTCATCTGCTTAGTTTAGCACTGACACATGGAAAATAAAAGCCTGTTAAAGTATGGTGACCAACAGTCCTGTTTTCCCAGGACATGTCCTGTTTTCACGTCCTGTCCTGGCTGTTTTTAATAAAGTAATTAAAATGTCCTGGTTTTCAAAAAAACTGCTGGAAAAGATCAGCTCTACAGCAAAATATAAATGGGAAAATTATGAAGAAAAACAGGATAAATAGAAAGAAAACTAAAGATATAAATATATTTTGTAAGTTTGTGTGAGATATTTTTGTTCAATTTGGAGGTGTTTCTTTTAGTTATTTATTATTTATATATGTATTTTTCTACTACAGAAGAGACATTATTTCTATCATTATTTCATTCATTATTTGTGAAACCTGTCATAATACAGTTTGTTAGAGTTGCTAAAAAAATACAGAGTTGCTAAAACACTAAACCCCATTCTCTGAACCAAATTCTTGTGGGATAGATGGATGGATGGATTAATTGATTCTGGGCTATATACAGAGGTGTAAAGTCCAGGGGTCCAAAAGTAAAAGTCTTGCCATATTAATTAATAACTAATAGTTAATAACTAATTAGCTTTAAAGCATCAGCTAAATTAAATAAATGTAGTTCTACATCCTGGCTGAAAAACTGTGCTAATTAGCAAATTCAGGTGATTGGAACAAAATATTGAGGAGGACGTTTACTTTCTGAACCTGGACTTTACACCTCTGGCTATAACCAACCAAATGCTTTGCAGTCTATTTAACCTTTTCTTTATGTATTATCAACTTGAACCTTTTCGCTATAGTCATATTAACTTTAAACAAAAAAATATAATGTTGCCTAATTACTTGACCATTATAAACTCACCATGCACGTCTGACGTCTCATAAAGTCAAGATAAAGCCAAGTTGCATGTGAATGCTGTCACTTTTTGTCATATTCTCTGGCCGTTGGTCATGTGAAACATGACGCACGCTCATTGGCTGACGCTTTCCTCTCGTTTAACGTCTGTAAAGGTGTGGGTTCGTTTCCTGACCCTTTTCGCGCCGCGCGTGCAGCGATCATCATCATCATCATCATCATCATCATCATCTTACAGGCTGTTGCTTCCTCCTGAGGGACCGTAAGCGCTCTTCACAGCCTGCCTGCACACTATACCGAATCTGGCTAATACTACACATTAATTTGCGAGATCGGATGCGTTATATTGTCTCTCACTCACACCATACACGCATTTCGCAGGGAATATACGGAATTACAGGCGCAACAAATGATGATGTGACGGCCATCCGTTCAGAAAGAGAATAAAAGCTAGCTGTTCAGTCAGTGGACGCTGCATTTCTGCAAACGAAGCAAAGCCTCAGACAATCCTTTCCCAGATGAACAGTTACAGTAGTGTGTTCACTACTGACAGACAGCAGTCATCTGGAATTATACCCTGCGCCCTGGAGGAGAAACAGGTTTAAGGTAACTGAAATGTCCTTCTATGAGCTGACATGCACTGATTTGATTTTGAATGCAGTCTAATGTAAGGTTTGAAGTGGCATCAATTTGTATGGTTATGAATTTTGGCGCATGCTCTTTGTTTGCATGAATTAAAACACACACACACACACACACACACACACACAAACACACAAACACACACACAGTAAGCCAGAACCTATGGACACAATACACATAACTGTTGTCCACTTGTTCATGTTGTTGTATACCTTGTGCAGGGTTAAACTGGAACTATGAAGGTGAGAGAATCCTAAATTCTGGTGATTATATATATATATATACACCATCGCCCCAAAAATAAAAACAAATTTATGTTGAACCACTTTTTTGACAATACTATATTCTAGTAGATTTTGTTTAATTGAATTACTGTGTAAAGTATGTATAATTGAAAATACATTTGTATAAAGTGATTACATTGTGCCAGAATTTGAGTTATTTATTTAGTTTGTTTTCTACTGTGTGGTTAAATTGTGATAGATAGATAGATAGATAGATAGATAGATAGATAGATAGATAGATAGATAGATAGATAGATAGATACAGTAGATAGATGGATGGATGGATGGATGGGTGTGGTTAAATTGTGATAGATAGATAGATAGATAGATAGATAGATAGATAGATAGATAGATAGATAGATAGATAGATAGATAGATAGATAATAGATAGATAGATAGATAGATAGATACAGTAGATGGATGGATGGATGGATGGATGGATGGATGGATGGATGGATGGATGGATAGATAGATAGATAGTCATAGTGTAGATTTAATTTTTGTGACATCTGAGCATAATAGTAGTCAGATGTCTCATGCAAAGCTATAGCTTTTGGCCAAGAAGTATGTTTTCCAGAGGGGGAAGCATATGTTGTCTGTTTCTAGCAGACACGACACATACACAGATGCTGTTTTAGTGGAGACATGATTTCTAGGCCAGTGATGCTCTATCTGCCAAGGAGGCCTGGTGTGTTTGGAGCTGCTTTAGTTTTCAACTGTTTGTTTTGCTGGATTTACATGGCAAGCTCTCTCCAGCAGTGTGCTCTTGGCAGATGTACTGGTTGAGGAAGCCTGTTTGCCTGAGTCAAACACTCTCACTGTGAGTCGACTTGACAAGGAAGAGCCCATCAAGGGCTTTTCTGCAAACAATTCTTGTCCGTTGCAAACAAAGGGGTTAAAAGCCAAAGAGCGATGACATCATGATGTAATACTACTATAAAAAAGAGAAATTGGTGGAATTGTTTAATTATGTAGTGTCATTATTAACTGCTTGCAGGACTGTAAACAACCATAGACATTGAGGGGGACATTATTGTACCCCAATATTAGGATTAGCTGCCAATTTAAACATTCATATTTGACTACATCCATGCAATGTTAGGAACAACTTTAACAGTAAATGTAATAATAATCATATCTATATGGTATAAATGGACATGATTGCATTTATACTCTCCGACAAAGAAAAGCGAGTGACGATATTCCTCTTTTCTCTGTTCATTTTTGAAATCCATGCAACTGTCCCAGATTTAGACATAAATATATTCTCTTCATACACAGCAGAGATGAGTGCTTTTTGAAGAGAATGGGGTGAAAAATCCTTCCTTCGCTACCTGGCTAAATGGCCTGGTGATGGAAAAATATTGTTACTGGAATGATATTTGAATAATTGAAAAGGGCCGACTTTAAAATTGCAGGCTTGCCATGATTTCAAGTGCAAAGTTAGAGGCTTCCACACCGAAATATTCATGCCATTATTTAGGAGTCAGGAGAAGGGATTCATTCAAAAATGATCAGAGCTCCTGCCTCTCCATTTCACAGGGCCAGAACTAGCTCTGCATGGCCGCGGAGGAGAGATTCATTTTAATAATGAAGAAGGACGTGCACCTTACTATCTCCCCACAGCGTTGTTATAAGTGACATCATAGATCAGGCCGACAAGCTGTCAAGAGAAGCCTCTCAGCATTGTGATTGCGGTGGTTTCTGTTTGTTTCTGACTAATGTAACACACATCAAAAACAAATTACAATGCGTTTATGAGTGAACAGAGCACACGGCATCTGAGTCATCAGCTCGGTATTGTTTGAGCCATCCAAAGAGAGAAGTTTAATACTTATTGCTGAGTTGGACATGTGCACAGTTGACTGCATTGGCATTTTCACTTTATTTGACTCCTGCTGTGTAAACAATGATTTAAAAAGTTAATTTTTCGCCTGAATGAGCTCATTAGCATTGCAGCTTTTGCCGGAGGTTGGTTTGGAGCTTTTGTCAGTGATCCTGTCTGAAATGAGGGAAAATGAATTTCAATTTTGTGATTGCGTTTGTTGTATTTATTATTTTACATGATTTTTTTTTTTTTTTGATTTCTTGTCCTGACATAGTTGACTGCGCATATGCCAAGGCAAGTCAAATGTATTTGAAGCGCATTTCACAATACGCAAAAAATTACCTTTTTTTTTTAATAGAAAATCATGATGGTATTGTTTATAATATCTTATATTCATGCTGCATTTAGCAGAGCTGGATGATAATATAGTTTACATTTTGCAATGATACAAGCAATCAAGCCTGTCTATTTAAGCAAATAAATGTGCATACTTTGAGTGACATTAGTGACATGTTGACAGGTAAAATTCCAACTAATATAAAACTATTTGTTTTTTAGTTTTTTTGCCAATATAATACAATATTATTGCCGCAATATTGCGACTATGTCAAACTATGTTTTGCTATAATGTAGCATGTGGACATGAACATCTCAAAATTTTTATGAGCTTTTAAACTAGGGGTGTAACGATACCCTCAAGTCACGATTCGATACATATCACGATACTGAACTCACGATACGATATTATTGCGATACTCCAAGACATATGATAAAAGGTTATGAAAAAAATTTACTGTTGATTAAAATGCTAACTTTGATATTACATTGTGGGTTTAAATGAATAGGTTTGGACTTGGTGCTTGTAACCCAAGGACAATGGTAACACTAACACTAAAATAAAAATATTCATGATTCTGAAGCTGTGAAGCTGCTTTGATACAATCTGTATTGTGAAAAGCGCTATATAAATAAATGTGACTTGACTTGACTTGAAGCTGAAAATACAGAATTATTTTAGATGAATATGCTTGTACTCTATCACTGACTAGATATATTTAAAATAATGTCGGCCACTTACTAAAACTCTGAAAAAATTGACTTTTTTTCTTGCACAGTAATTTTTATTTTGGGGGAACTATCTACGATACATATTGTCACAATCCATGATACGAATTTTCACTATCCACGATACGTATTGTTGTTGCATTTTTTATTGCGATATATTGTGGCACGATATATTGTTACAACCCTATTTTAAACATTTAAAACCATTTTTTTAATCTCTGAATGAAATAAAAAAGCAGAATAAAAATAAATGTATGTATAAACATCAAATACAGTATATGTATATATACAGTATATATACATATCTTCAAAGCACATTTAGATGATCAGTATCACACTGATTGACACAGTGAAACATTTGTATCTGTCACCTTAAACAATGTGCGCCATGTCCATCAAAATTTCTTGTTTCAATTTTTGATAGTCTCTCTTTGTGCTTTAAATAAACGCCAGTGAATTAAGTAGGGTAGCGGCAATTGCTGAATAAGAACCCAGTCAGCAGCTGCTTTATAGCCTGACATCTGAAGCTGTCTCTTGATTTGTCCTTGGGGCGGGATGTGCATGCTGGCCGTCCATAAATCAGGCAGCAGAGACCCGCTGGCATACAGAGAGAGAAGCTAAAACTAAAGCTGCATCAGATTTTATAGATTTGGAGGTTTTATTTGTATTATAAAAAAACAAAACTCTAAAATGTTGTGGGTTTTTTTGATGATAGATGTGGAAAACTGAACAAGAACTTGAAGCATGGCTCTTTTTCAATCAATCCAAAAGACATTAAAGTTGAATGACCAGAATCTTCAGAGTTTAAGATGGTGGAATAAATCACATGAAGGTGAGAACAAGGAGCTTAGCAATCTCTCTCTTATTATTGGTTTCTCTCCGAAACTCAACGAATCTCCAAAACTCTCTAATCTGATAAAACTCGAGAGTTGATTCCTTAAATAGTTCCTTAAAGGTACACTGTGTAACTCTTTTAGTTTATTCTTAGCTAAAAACACTTAGTTCTTTCAAAAATATATGTGCTCATTAATGTATATTTACTTCTTTCAAGTAATAAAGTATTCTCGTGAGTGTATAATATGCCATTGAAAATACATACGGGTAAGGGGTTCTAATGTCGGTCGCCATGTTGCCCCTCCATCTTGAATGTACATTAGCCAAATAGGGACATACCCATTAATTCAAGCTTCGCCTTTTGCGTTTACGTTTTTGTTAACACTCATGGACGAGGTCGAACTGGAAGCCATGTTAATCTTAAACTACATTGGCCACTGTAGGAGTTAAAACGAAATCGTAATGGGCTTTATGCACAGCTACACTACTTCCTGAACTTAAGCCAGCTCCTTGTTTCCTGTCTGCCATTATTAGCCAAATTGATTAATACAGGTGTGCCTGACCTCAGTAGTCACGGCAACAATAATCAGACACACCTGAATTAATCAGTTTGGCCAATAATGTCAAAGTCTATTGAGAGGAACAGAAACTAATATTCACTGGATGGTTATATACATTTTCACTGCTAGATGGGGGTAAAAATCACACAGTGTAGCTTTAACACAAGTCAATTTGGATAAGTGTCAGTTAATAATATTAAGTAGCTGACAGCTGTAAGAAGCACTAAACATGCATATATTAAATACTCCCTGATGTATAGAACCAGTTGAACTCAATGGGCTCTGACACAGTCAATGACAGACATTTAAAGCTACAGTGTGTGATTTTTACCCCCATCTAGCGGTGAAAAGGTATATGACCATCCAGTGAATATTAGTTTCTGTTCCTCTTAA